TTTCCGACAATTTTTAACACCGCTTTGATATTCATAATGATATAATATACAGAGAAAAAAAACTATAGTGAGCTCTTACGCTGGTGTTGCAGGGTATACAAATATTATGTGATCATTGTGATCCAAATAGCAAATAAACCTATACAATTTCGTGAAATTATATGTGAATAATAAAGATAATAGATACATAGAACGTGATTTACATGGGAAAACTGCGGAGAGATAATGGTTTGACGATTATATCGTATCAAGGAATAAAATACGGAGCGTACAGTGAGACACATAATCAAAATGATAATTACGTAGAAATATGTTAAAAAATACAAAATAATAAAACATTTCGAATAATTATCGGCATATATAATGAGACGCGCAATACGCGAGTTTGTATAAATTTAACCAAATGCGTCATATAATTGAGTATAAATATTATAGTAAAATATTGATCAATATTTACAAAACAGAGCAAACAATAAATATTTATAATCAATGGTCATACTTCTATGTAAATCCATTGCTGTTTCTCCCCTCCCGACCCCCGAGAACGGAAAATCTCTCACTACTGCACACTATGTTATACCTAGGAAAAGGGGTTTCACATGTAATATACTATACACAACCACCATTATTAGCGTACCATCGGCAGAGGAATTCATTACATCTCATCACCACCGCCGTATAATAGATTATACAACATATTGTATTGTGATGTGCGTACATAATATGTTTATATATATAGATCCGGAGATAGCGCGTCCGGCCAACGAATTCGCGACGGGTCGATTAATTATACAATGTTAAAAAAAAACCTACCTATACATAATAATATCTAACTTACTTAATATCGTGTTAATACACTCGAGGCATAATTGGTAGTGGATTTTGTTCGATATATTGCTTATAATATATTTTTATATACCTAAGCGCGTACACTGCAGGGCTAGGGCGCGTAGGTAAAAAAAATGGTACATCTAAAGCCGGAAGGGCTTTTTTGGGGGGAGCACAATTGAGAGTTGAACGCTTAAATAAGTTATTTCGTATTTTTCAACATAACTAAACTAAAAGTTGTGTTATTTTTGGGTCATGCTTTACTGAACTTTATATACTAAACGAAAGTGACAAAATGGATCTTAAATTTAAGTTACGTGGTAATTATGAATAATACATTCCAAAAAATAGTTTAACCCCCTCCCCTCAAATTACTCATATATCCCACGCTTGTAAGATTTGGATTTTGTTCTAAAAAAATACGTGACATTTTTACAACTCATATAACAGTTATGAGTATACTTTATAAGTAAACGTAGGTATTATAATTCGTTTCGAGTTAGTGAATGTTAAAATAATCCCCCTGTATAGTCTGTAAAAATCACCAGAGCGTTCGGTGCATACGAATTGATCTATTTATACTCTATCGAGTATGGACGTCACAAAGCTGGGACGTTTCGTTTCGATTTTTCAGAGGGGCGCCTGCAGTGCGTGTTTTGAGAGGGCCAAATTTGTCCTTCGTTCTTACGTTTTTTCCACCTAGCTTCACATGTGCAGACCGAGAATTAAGTGAATTAGTGAAAGTGTGCGGTTAGAGAAATTGGGACATCCATCCAACAATAATAGGTAGGTATAATTTGTTGTTGTTGTGACGAACGGTATGTCAGAGTTAAAAAAGAGACGACGACCTATATTGTCCATCCGAGTTACGGTGAAACGACCTTTTTTCCGTTCCGTGTCGAACACATAGAAGTCGGTGGCTCACCTTCCGCATGGAAATTTATAAAGGAAATAAACGAAATACGAACAAAACTATTCTTATTATAACATACCTACATTTGTAGGTATAGTAATAGTATTATAGGTACTATTGTATTGCACCGATATACACTATCTCGAATAGCTTTGGTTTTAATATAAATCGGACATATGGTTATTGGTATTTTAAATTTTACCCCTCCTCCCCCCGTGTTAAGAATATTTTACATCGACTTTCCATACAAATATTAAAAGTTTAATAAATATAAAGAAACAAACGATAAACTATTCGCCAGCATCAGTGCGATTCCACATATCGAGCCGAAAGACCGAATGCGACGGCTGTGCGATTTTCTGGTGAGCGAGGTGGGGATGAAATGCCAAAAGCCGAAGCGTGTCCGGAAGAGAAACCCCTCTAATAACCCAGCACGGGGAAGGGTGTTGGTCTCTTATAGGGCGCGGCATCATTTTGTATACGTGCGAGCAAGCCAAGTCAGGCGAGCAAAATAAATAATCTTTCATGACCAAAATTACACATAAAAAATGAAAGTGTAAAATAGCCATTAAAAAAGCCGTTCGATCGTCGAGAAAATGTATAAAAAAATAATGAACACATGAACAGAAGAAATTGGTTACGACGACCGCAGCAAAATTCCACTATAGGATTACAGAAATAATCAGCTAAAAACGACATTTTTTATTTTATTGGTTATTCGTTGCGTCGTTGAAATAATATGGTCGCGGTTTTTACGGTACATAATAATATATTATCTTATAGTTTTTGCAAACAAGTTTGCATGAATACAAGTAAAATAATATCGTTGGTGTTGCAGCTCGAGAAGAAACAAAAACAGTAATATATTATTAAAATTTAATAAATCACCCGCTCTATTTATGTTAACAAAAAAAAAAATATTAAAATAATAATTCACACAGCTATTACAAATATCATGTTTCAAAAATCTGTGAAATCATATAATAATAATAGTCCGACCCGTACAGATGATTACTTAAAAACTAACACTCCGAATGTATGCAGTATGTGTTATGTACGCGTATTTTGTAAACAAAATAATATATACGTCGATTGAACAATACAGAAATGGATGGAGGAAAAAAAAACAGTGACATTATTACTATAATACAGCGTGGTAGTTTTTCGGGTTCGCGAAAAAGTACATGACAATTAAGTGCGATTCACATATTATTATAATACACATTAAAATTGTACAAATAATTATTTACAATACAAAAAAAATCACTTAGACACGTTATTTACAAAATTTATTTTCCACGCACACGAGCGCGTTGTCGTATTTGTCTTTTACCGCGTTATTATAATACATATATAATTAAAAAATAAAAATACACGTCTTTCCGATACATTACGTTTTACGACCGTTTAAAGCTGATGTTACGTTTTTAAATCAATGGCGTTTAACGTGTACGTATATGCTGTTGATATCATTACCGGATGAGTTATCTTTAAAAAACGAGTATACTTTTTTCATATTTATAAATAGGTATGTGATTATATAATATTGGTAAACATCGAACATCAGAGCTTGATATCATAATACGTGGTTTATGGTGTAATGATTCGGTTTCATCGTAAAAAAAAAAAATAAAAATTATAATTATAAGAAAATAAGCGTACTAAAAAAAGAAAAATTGGGCACTGAGCTTTCATTCAATCGTCTAAATAAGTAAAAATCAAGCATTTTGCTCACACATACAATAAAAAGAAAGAAATAAAAATTCAGAACTATATACATTTTTTTTT